TTTCTGATATGATTTTTTTTTTCTGATATGATGCAGTACTTGCAGAAGTGATTCAGTACTTGCAGAAGTGATTTCAAACTTTTATGAACTGATTAAGTACTTTCCGGAGTAATTACGTAATTGTATGAAGTGATTCACTACCTTCCGAAGTGATTACGTACTTTTCTGAAGTTATTCAGTACTTTCTGAAGTGATTCCAAACTCTTCACAATGATGTAGTACTTACGGAAGTGACAACAAACTTTTTTTGAATAATTCAATACTTTCCAAAGTGATTCTAAAATTTCTAAAGTAATTCAGTACTTTCCGAAGTGATTCCGAAGTTTTCTGAAGTGATTCAGAATTTTCTGAAGTGATTTAAATCTTTTCTCAAGTGATTCACTTCTATTCTTGCGGAAGTAATTTCAAACTCTTTAAAAAAATCCAATCTTTTCCGAAGTGGTTCAGTTCCTTCTGAAGTGACTCCGACCATTTCCTAAAAGATTAAGTACTTTCAGAAGTGATTCTAATTTTTTCTGAATCGATTCAACACTTGCCGAAGTGAATCAAAACTCTTCTGAAGTGAATCAGTGCTTTTCGAAATGATTGAAATCTTTTCTAAAGTGATTCAGTACTTGAAGTGATTCACTTTTCTTAAGTAATTCAGTACTTTCCTGGAGTTATTCAGTATTTTTGTTAATGAGCCTGAACACTTCTGAAGTGATTTAGTACATTCCGAAGTGGTTCAGAACTTTCCTGAAGTGATTCAGTACTTTCCAAAGTGGGTTTAAACTTTATTGAATTGGGTCTAGTTGCTGGTCTTCCAACAGAGAATGAATGTGAGCGTCACTTCGTAGCCAACGTATTTCGCAACGAAAAGGGTCGATATCAAGTTCGTCTTCCAGTGAAAGAAGAACTCCTGCTTCGTCTTCAGAACAACAAACACAACGCAGAGCGTCGGTTCCTCGCTCTCGAGCGGAAACTGAACGCGAACCCCACACTACGTGCTCAATACGAAGAGTTCATCAACGAATATTTGCGTTTGAGCCATATGCGGGAGATACCACAGGAAGAATTGGCAGCAGAAAACGACGATGTTCCGCAGTTCTACATACAGCATCACGCCATTCTTCGCCCTGACAGCACGACCACGAAGCTCCGCATTGTTTTTGATGCTTCCTGCAAGAGCTGCTCCGGATTATCGTTGAATGACGTCTTTTTGAATGGTCCAACTATCCACAACACGATCAACGCAATCGTTCTCCGTTTTTGGATGCCAGCTTTCGTCATCATGGGCGATCTCTGCAAAAATATATCGCCAAATTTTCGAGCATCCTCTCGACCAACGACTTCTACGGATTTACTGGCGAAAGAACAGCGCGGAGTCGAGTCACACTGAGTTTGATTCCGAAGCTCCTGTCAAGGCTCTTGGGCTTCTGTGGGAGCCGGTAACAGATTCGCTCCTCTACAAGATGCAATATACGAAGCGAATCATTCTGACACAGACATCCAGTTGTTTCGATCCTCTAGGACTGCTTGGTCCAGCCGTCGTGAAGGCCAAAATCATCCTCCAAATGCTATGGAAGCTGAACTAAAACTGGGATCATCCACTGCCTAGGGCATTCGCAACCGAATGGGAAGAGTACCAGAGTCACTTCAGCCGATTGCAAACTTTTTGATTTCCTCGGCATGTTCAGTCGTTGCGGCGCCCTTCCGTTGTTGAAATTCACGGGTTCACCGATGCATCGGAGCACGCCTACGGAGCGTGCCTGTATCTACGAACGATCGCAGCGGATGGATACGTCACCATTCGGTTTTTGGCAGCTAAATCACGAGTCGCTCCACTAAACAACAAATCCATAGCACGAACTATGTGCAGCGCTGCTTTTACCCCGGTTGCTTCTTTCCGTCTGCACCAGCATTGGAATCAAGGAAAGCATATTTCTGTGGACCGATTCCACAATCGTGCTTCACTGGATGTCGGAAAGTCCATCCACCTGGCATACGTTTGTGGCGAACCGTGTCGCTGAAATTCAGGAGTTAACAATCAACTGCACCTGGAACCTGTGCCCGGCGAAGAAAATTCCGCTGATATCATCTCACGGGGCATGGATGTGAGTCAACTTTTGGACGATTCACTTTGGTGGAATGGACCACTGTGGCTCGCTGCTCCTAACCTCCTTTGGCCTCTACCACCAGAAGATCTCGGCCGATTGAAGGAAAAGGATCTTGAAGCTTAAAAGGGAATAGCTCCCTCTATCACGGAATCGCAAGTATGCGATATCATAACTCGTTTTTCGTCATTTCCCTTATTCCTACGGATTGGTGCCTTGCAGACCGGCGCAATCAGCCAACCATTCCTCCTGCGAAAACCTATCAGTACGGTCCGATCACCGTAGAAGAGCAAAATCAAACCAACAGGAACACTTCCCGTCCAAAATTGTCGCTTTCAGGCCGAAAGAACCATCCCGCACTCGTCAAAGCTACGCTACCTCAATCCGGATCTCCGTGCTGGTCTTTTTCAATTTGGTTGGCGACTCGAACACGCCGGAGTCGCTAGTGACGGGAAAAACCCTTTCGTACTACCGTATAAGCATCCGCTAACCTGGTTAATTGCTGATTCTTTCCACCGGCAGCAGCTGCATTGTGACCGGCAACTCTTGCTGGCAGTCATGCGTCAAAAATTCTGGCCGTTGAGCGGCCTGAACCTCGTTCGAGATGTAGTACATTCGTGTGTCACATGCGTGAAGGCACGGCCACGCAATCTCGTGCAGCTGATGGGGTCGCTGCCAGCGGTTCGTGTCACACAGTCCTTCGCCTTTGAAAACGTTCGAGTCGACTTTGCTGGCCCATTCTATCTCCAACGACCAAGCCCTCGATCCACACCGACAAAAAGTTACGTGGCTGTTTTCGTCCGCACAGTAGCATCGCATCTGGAGCTGGTGAGCGAGCTAACGACGGCAGCCTTCGTCGCTTCATAGCTAGGAGGGGTCGGCCACAGCACATATATTGCGACAATGCGACTAATTTTGTGGGCGCTAGACGGGAACTTCGCGATCTGTTTCGCTCGCAAGGGCATCGCCATGCCGTTTCCAACGAGACCACCTCCCAATCGATCCAGTTCCATTGCATCCCGGCCAAATACCTAATTTTGGCGGGCTATCGGAAGCCTGTGTCAAGTCGATGAAACATCATCTACGACGAGTCATTGGAAACGCTTTCTTGCCACGTTGAAAGCTGCTTCAACTCCAGGCACATTACATGGCTTTCCAGTGACCCAAATGATCTGCAAGCCCTAACACCAGGGCATTTCTTAATTGGTCGGCCTCTGGATGCCTTGCCGAACTCCGATTACACCAGCCTTCCTGAGAATCGTCCACGCTTGTAGGAACGAGCTCAACGCCACACGCAGCACTTCTGGCAAAGGTGGCACCGTGTGTACCTTATAACCCTACAACAACGGTACAAGTGGTCATCCGTAACCCGCAACCTGGCTGTCGGGTCGATGCTCATGATCCAGGAAGAGTCCCTCCCAGTCCTGAAATGGTCCCTGGGGCGAGTGGTAGACATTCATCCGGTCGCAGATGGAATGGTGCGCGTAGCCTCTGTCAGGTTGCCATTAGGAACCGTGACGAAACGCGCCATTTCCAGCGCTCCGTTGCTCAGTGGCCGTTAATGTCAAATTCTTAATTCTAAATTTGTTTAAATAACATTGCTTAAAAGAAAACTTACAACTAGATGCATGCACTTACAATAAAATTTATAGTAAAATCTTACTCTTAAAGTAAATTATATATATAATATCCTTTTCGCACCACCCTAATACCTGTAAATCGATGTAGGCCTATGACATCTGGACGTACATACGTTGCTATCGGTCGTACAATATCGTTCTGAAAACTAAGTGCTGAAGACGTTTATTCGGTGGAAGAAAGACTTGGTCCGTTTGCCTTCTCTTGGTACCCACAAGATTACCGTGTCGGCGGAGTCGCGATTTTCCTGCGAGTGTCCGGGAGTTTCTTCAGTTTTCGTTTCGAACACTCCTTTTAAAATAAAATGTTACGTTAATGCACCGATTTATGATCTTCGACCGGTGGTAGATTTCTTTTTGGTTGTAGGTTTTGAGAAAATACGATATTTGAGATTTTCAACCACCATTAAAAATAAAGAGCTGCAGGATATATAGCACGATTGACATAACCTCAAAACATCCTAAACAACTCCAGTGTCCGGTAGCCCGTTCCAATTTCGGAGAGATGTTAAACTAGAATAAATTCCTCGTCGAACGCTTCAGGAACTGTGGAAATTTGAATTTTGACAAAATTTTGCTTGTCTTCTTTATTTTGATTAAATTTTTTAGAAAATTCCTCTACAAGAGATATCAAAACTTTTAAAATGAATTCCTCCATTGAATACGCGCTATCAATCTCTTAATCAATTCAGCACGTTGCATTTCCTGCTCGCTTTAAATATTTCACAGGCATCCTCTATCGGGTGTTGGAATATGGGATTATATGTGAATCAGCTTGTCGCCAATCGCTGAAATCCACTAGTGCAACTCACAATGTAGGGCTATATATATACAATTGTATATGTATTATTGTTTGCTGGTTGGTGTGACATCATCCCCACCGCATCGCTTTTGCGAGGTTTTGATGATTAAACGGTCTGGAAAGATAGTGGCAGCAGCACTATCCCGACCCGACACTAGTCACTCATTCGTCCGTCCGTTCGCTCTCTCGGAAGGGGTCGAAGGCACAGGCTATTTATAATCACACTGCTCCGTTTGCACCTTACCAAATCGTAACGTGATAGGTAAGATGGGACGATTTGGCTTGGCATTTCCCACATCAGGTCTGACCTATGGCCTGGCCGCCACCACCGCCGGCATTCGCCCCTGCCTTCCGAGAAGCATCCTGTGATGAATAATCGATATTTACAATTTTAAAGTCTCATTATTCACTTGGTTCTTATGCTATCTCTTCTCTGTGTGATCCTTCTGGACTGGAATCTCATTTTAGACGATAACCTTTCGACTTGAACCTGAGCCGCTGCAGGAAGGAAGCAAGGAACGCGGAGAACGGAGGTTCACCTATATTCTTCAATCCTCAGCGGGAGAGCACGGCGGAGAATGCTGCTCAGTTTCGCCGCCAATTTGAACTCGTTCATTAGTCGCAACCGAACAACGGCAGTAGCAGAATTGGAACGGAGGTTCTGCTTTAGCAAAACCACATTACAGGAACTAGACCATACACAACCCCAACAGCATTGCCAACGCGCTGCATCCAATCATTATCGTTGGCACCTGTAAACGAAAAAAAAAAGCAGAAGAAGAAGCAGAGAATGTGCCGAGCGAGTTAGAGCGTCCGGTGTAGTGATAAGCGTGCGATAAGAGCGTCGTCGATCGCGCTTGATAACGTGACTCAGCGGCGACAACAATCAACGACGGTGGTCGAAACAGTGCAAACCTAATACAAAAACAGCCGTAGAACTCCAAACACGCGGAAACCCCCAGCGGACGCTGGTCCCCGAGTGGACTTCGATCGGCCATCGAAAGAGCGCCTCTCTACTTATTCTTTTCGGACCAGGTTATCAGTCAGCAACGGCAGTCGTAGCGATGCCCGCGTGCAGTGGACTAATGTAAGATTTCTGAATGAATTAAACCCCCAATCATTTTGGTATTGATAAGGCCTAATCTAATGGAATTTGCTGTATTTTTTTTCTTTCACCGGAATTGTGCCGATGTTTTGGTTGACGTGACGTGCGTGGTGACAGTGAGGTGATCAAATATCCAAGGGCCCTGTTCCGGACGGTGTTTGTGATAGTGAACAACATCTATTGCGTCCCAACGTATCTGATATGGATGTTCCTGTTGTTACCGTTGAAGAAGATTCACGAAAGCTGCTACTACAAAATTGAAGGGATCATATTTCACTGGCTGCTGGCGAATGTGTCCATGTGGTCCACGACGGCCGGATATGAGTGTAAGTATTGTGAGAGTGAAATACTAGGTGGTTGTTAGCTTTGACATAAATTGCTATGATTTTAGTGGTCGAGATGGGCGATGATATCAGTCCGGCGATGGACGAGCGAACGCTGGTGATAGCCAACCACCAGAGCACTTCGGATGTGCCGCTGCTGATGGCGGCGTTCAATGTGAAGAAGGGTGTACTACCGAACATCATGTGGATCATGGATCGGATGTTCAAGTATACCAACTTTGGAGCGGTCAGTTTACTTCATCAAGATTTCTTTATTGCATCGGTGAGTAGCAAAAAAAAAGAAACTTTCTGCAATGTTGCATCGTCATCCATGCCAAAAAAAAGTCGTATAAGCATCATTTAAATAATGGAATGGATTGAGTGGAGGAATGATTTAAAACATATGCTCAAATCCTAGCTATTACCGCTCTACCGTGCAAGCTCCATATGTTAAACAGAGCCTAATGTTGGACAGTTTGATATTTAATAAATCGGTTCCAACATTTCATTAGGGCGAAACTGTTTTTGTAAACAATGTCTTCAACCGCCGATTACTCGCAAATAAAAGCTAACTCAAGTTAGCACGGTATATTCTGTCCATAAAAGCATAACAGTCCCATATGGACTTTTATTAAAAACGAGTTATCCAGTAGCGTCGATTTCAAACTACCTGATGATGGTCACAATACCTGGTACACAACTTTCGATCTGATTTTTGGCGTCCAATTTCCACCTGAGTTTCTTCAACAAAGGTTGAAGCGACCCACAATTTTGAGTAGATCCATGCACACTAGGTGCTCCTCACAGCTATTCTGAAGATCATCAACTAGTCAACAATTCAAATCACATTTCCCAGTTATTATCTCAAACACCAGGTTGCTCAGAAATTATTCCAAAGCCAGGGGATCTCAGGATATTTGTTCAGGACTTCAGCTTGATCAGGCAGCGCTCTGAAGATTATCAACTGTACAATAATTAACATGAAGATCTTCAACTGCACAACCATTCAAATCACACCTCTCAGGTATATTTCAAGATACCAGGTTGTTCATAAATTATTCAAAGACCTCCAGGTGATCAGACATCTCCAAAAAGTCCTCAAACTATATGTTCAAGACTTCAGCTTGATCAAGTATCATTCTGAAGATCTTAAACTTTTTTAATGTCATTACAGGATCAGAAGTCAGTAAAAGCCTTTCGAACACATATTCAATATTAGTAAGACGGATAAATTTTCTAGAATGATGCTCTCGGAATTTACGGATGCTTTTATTGCGTCGCTCTTGAGCCTCTTCCGACACCATTCCGATTGGAATTTCGGAAGGGCTTATTATTGTTGATCCATGTAAAAGAATTCTGTGCACGGAAGGTGAAAGGGGGTAGTACGGATAGTACTGTAAGAAACAGCTTTCGAGTTTCTTTATCGTAGACCTCGAATGCTCCTACGTAGATTACCAACTTAGATGACCGGGCACTAAGGAGTGTTGAAAAACGCCGAACGATGTTCTCTGTAATAGAAGCCGTTTTTGCTAGGTCTATAAAAAATTGACGGGCAGTATTGCCATCGTTTGTATTACCTAATAACAAAAATGTCTAATAAGCTAAATGTATTGAATTTTAAAGTTGGAATACGTTACCTCCAGATGGTATGGGTTCACTGATTCTCAGCTCAATCTTTTTGAATTCTTGTTTGATTGCTTTCTGTCGTTCTCCCAATATTTCGTTTCCCTTATTCATCCGCCACTTTTTTAAGGGTATCCTGTAACAATTCCATGCTTCTAATTTGGAAATGTAAAATAGGAATGGTTTCAATTTTTTCGAGTCATCAGAAATAGGTGCATTGCTGTGGTTACTTAGTGCTTTGCCTGATGCTCCGCAAATATTACATGCCTGCGATCTTGTGTCTGTAATCCCGAGCAAAGTCTGAGATTTAAATTGAAATCTAAATTTGATGTTGTGATTTCGCTGATAATGATTACTCAGGTTGCTGTCGTTTTGGTTAGTATCAGTTCTGAAGAAGCATGTATAGGAATGCCATTGAATGTGAATTCGGTTGTTTTCAAATTTTTGATTTGCATCATTATTTCTTCGACCTCTCGTTTAGTTACATCTTTGGTTTCTTTTTTTAAAAATAAGTTTAATGGGGCGGCACAAATTGATGGATGAAGGACAGTTGTTGTTCCAAACTATTTATCGACGATGGGTGAAAATATATGCGCAATGGCACTAAGCAAATTAAAAAAAAATATGAGAGTCATTATAGGAAGTGACATCTTTGTCGAGCTCTTCAAAAAAGATCATTTTATATTGTTAGTGGTTACTTGAATCGTCACATCCCCATTTCATAATAACAGAAAAGTACCCCTGTTCTGAAATATATGGGCAAATCGATTTACCTACAGTCATGAATAGACGTTCTATGGTGTGATCAATTAAATTTTGTAGTGGAATTTCTGCGCATGATGGTCGAATAGTAATATCTAAAAATGTATAAACCTCTATACTATTATATAAATGAAAACTTATTTCTACTGACCAAGTGGATAATAAGTGTTCTTATTTTCGGAAACTTCGTTATACGACGGATAAATATTGTATACTTTATTGAGCGACATATTTCGTATGTTCTGGTATTGCTGTTTTGTTAAATCATTTTCACACAAAAACCGCAAAGCTTCGCCTAATGATAAACAATTCGTTTTATCGTTAAGATCTGATTTCACTAGATTTTTAATCTCCGTTGCCTTTTCTGGAAAAGTTGAAAGGTGTTCGATAATCCAGGCTACATAACGATTCGCTGCAGATCTTAACATTGATATTGTTGCTGAAATCAATTCGTATTTTGTATATGAATCTCGCAAATGCTTTGATTTACTAGTCTTGAATCTTTTGCAACTAACACAAAATGATTTCTGGGATCGTCCTACAGGTCGTTTTGCAGTTCAGTTATTTCCTTTGGAAATTTCAAGAGTTGAAACCAATCAGTCAGAATTTTTTTGGAACAAGAACAAGGCAGCTTTTTTTCCGGTTGTATTTAGCGTATTGTTTGTCCAATTTTGCTTTCACAAATTGTAGTGACTGAAGTGATGACTTTTCATTCACTGCATTATCTGTAATGCTATGTTTTTTCTTGACATACGATGCCACCTCATCGATCGGAATTTTCTTAAAAAATAAGTCCAAAACCTCTCGTATTACATTGCTGCAGGTTGTCATTTTTAATGTTAGTTGAATAAGTTTAGCAGTATTTAAAGAACTTACCTTTGGCCATTGCGATTCACCGAAAATAACAACTATACAAAAAGAATTAGCAATAAATTATAAACCATAAAGAAAACTGTGCTCGCGTGTTCTTTATCAACCCAGTTAATCTAATCAAAACAAACTCAAACGCATATACATGGAGCGTCCGATTAAGTGTGTGCATTCTTAGATCACATTTTCTGATTCATATCATCGCCATAATGTCAAAGATAATAAAACAAATATTCTATATAAACTTCTCTGAATGCTCATGTATTAGTGAAACATTAACAGGCCGCTCTAAGTATATGTGTAAGAAACGATATATTTCCCGTACTTACTTAGTATGCTAAAAAATAGAATTGTTCTGGAAAAGATTGGATTGGCCTGTAACGATCGAAGAAAAATGATTATTTAAAATGAACGTGAATTTCGGAAAATTTTACAAAACTTCGTATAATGCAGTTATTTGAGGATTAACAGTTTTTACGTCCTCGACAACTTTTCATAAAACTTTACGTTCTACAACTTTGCCGTTGTAGTAAACCTCTCTAGCATGCAAAATAAAAAAGTTGAGATCGCTGCGCCATCTTTGCTGCAAAAAACTTGAACTATTTCAATGCATAAAATTGAAGTCCCAACTAAGACAAGAAACTTTGCTCAAGACGACAACTCAATTGGATGCAATCCTAGAGTGTTATTATTTTTTCCTACTAGATTTCATTTCTAGCCCACTGTGCATTGGTTGCATTTTTGTGGTGCTGCAATGACGATCAGTGGCGTTTCCTTAACCTCAATCTACCTGTGCAACAACACTCAAAACATAAACAATTGTCAAAATATTGCTTGCAATGAATAGATATCGAGTAAACTAGAAGATTAAGTTATTTTTCAACCGATTCGAGTATGAATATGGCATTAAACCTGGTTTTGAAAGGTGGTGCACAAGTAAAAAGTGAGGTTACGGGACGCCACTGACGATGACATGTCGTATTGCATCACAATGGGATGAAACGTTTAAGTTCAAAACGGTTTAACACTAGTGTGATTTAAATATTCTTCTCATTCTAACTGAACATCCACTAGTTTTTATTAAAAAAGTTTGCTAATGTATTGTACAGACAGCACCCAATAATACATAATTCAGGGTGACCACTTAACCAGGAACACCGGGAAATTAACCAGGAATCGAATACAATAAAGAAATTCGGGAATTTTATTAGAACCATAAAATATTTTTTTTAATATGCAGGGTGACCACTGAACCGGCAGAAGCGGGAATCGAAAGCAACCGGGAAATATCCGGGGTTTTGATTGAAGCCTTACAATATGTTTTTGCACATATATTAATCTAATTATGTTAATAAACATTCTAAGTTCGATATCTCGAATATATATCTAAAATTTTTGAATACTTCATCATGCGAGGAAATTTTACATTTCCATAGGGTAATTTACAAATGGTTGCACACTTCACATTGTTTACTGTACAGGATTTATCCATAACCATGACGTTTACCGATAATGGTGACATGCTAATCAGTGATTAATTGGTGAATGATAAAACATGTGTTTTAGATACTCAGTAAAGAGTGAGTCGATAATTATTAGATTGATTGGTAAATCGGCTATAGTTATCGAAATGAAAATAAACTTTTACAGTAGATCAGTATATGTATTTATTTCAGCTTACATACGTCAGTTAAATTTTGCGATGAGTGTGAGTAAAATGCCCGACATTTGCGATTGACGCCTTTGGTTCGCGTGTAAAGGGCCTTAGAAAGTTTTTTTTTTACAAATGCTTTTGTTCCGTAATCAAATGTTATGCCTGATATGGTCGTAATCTAATACACAGTGGATCACAATACGAGCCTAATACCCCGTTCACATTACAGCCTATGTCACGTGGTATGGGCTGTCTTGCAGTGAGCACTCATACATAGGATTTCCAGTGAAAACTAGATGTATGAGTGCTCTTTGCAGGATAGCGTATGTCGCGTGGTGTACGCTGTAGTGTGAACGGGGTATAAAAGCTGCAGT